GTGTGTGTGTGTGTGTGTGTGTGTGTGTGTGTGTGTGTGTGTGTGTGTGTGTGTGTGTGTGTGTGTGTGTGTGTGAAAATGTTGTGAATATTCTCCAGAGGAAGTCACTACTTTTGCATTACAAAGGAAACTCTTGCTTGCAAGTTTTGTTTTGTTTCAAAGAGTGTGCGTTGTGTAAGATTCCTTGTAAATGACATTAAATTGGCACTTCATGTCTGGATGACAACCTGGTGAAATTAAAATGTAAACAAACTTACAGAAAAATACATAAGCAACTGCAGTCCTACTGACATCATGTCATACTTCCTGTTTACATTTGCTGGTGAACTGCTGGCTGCGCCCTCTGCTGAAAGCCCTCAACCGGCCTCCGCTGTCTTTGCATACACAAGGCAGCCTGGCTTTCTGTGGGATCACTGAAGCAGCCAGCAGAGGGAGCAATGTCACAATAAAAACGTCAAAATGAGTCAGATGACAGGAGGAGGAGGAGGAGGAGGGAAATCAAGTATGTAAAGGTAACGTGTGCAAAACAAGTGCTGTAGTTCTGTTTACCATATCAAGGCCTAAAAGACTCCAACTTACTTATTCTGGATTAAAAGCTTGTGCATATACGTGTGTAAGGACATCTGACACAGCAGTCCTACCTACCTCTCCTGAAACCTGTACCAGCAAGCTACAGTAACATAAGACAAAGGTATGCACTGTTTTTCTCTGTTTACAGGTACTTTAGAATCAGAGCTGGCATGTTATAGTAAATTTTAAAAGAATAACATAATACAGTCCTACTGTCATGTAAGAATGCCAAAAAAGAAACAAAACCTAAGTAAGCCCTTGTGTTATAACAAAAAGTAGAACACGTGTTAAACTGCAGGTAGTTTAACATAAATGACCGCGCCTTCCTGCAATATCAAATATTTCTGTGGCCAAATGATAGCTGTGTGCTGGAGTGATCTGACATGACAGCATACAGCCCTGAATGGTGGGTACCATGACCTATTATTAGCCCCTGACACCGCCTTCTCAGCTGAGTCTGGTCTAGGAAAAATATTCATTACGTAACAATAAAGAATCTGTCTCCCAGACCCACTTCCCAAATACCACAGCAACAGCTAGGCCTCACTCTGAGGCACAGAGACATCAGCCACATCCATTTGATTACTGACTTGGTGTAGGGCTGTGTGGGTTTTTTCATGCTTATCCATTTACTGCACACATTCACAACACCACCCCTCCTTCTCAGTTCCTCTTTGTGGGTCAGTGATGCAGCGGGAGTGACGCAGCAGTAGCAGCAGCCTCCAGAAGGCAACTTCGCACAGCAGGAACCGGGAACCTCTGCCAGAGCCATAGTCCACAGACGGCAGTGACGAAGGGAAAGTGGTAATGACCTGATCCGGGCTAGAGGAAGAATGGGAGCTGGGTAGTCGCTCTCCTCCTTCTAAACAAACACCAGAGAGGCTTCCACAGCGAAGGGACAGGCCCGGCAAGACCTTCCACACAAACGTTTTGGTAGGCATCTCAAAGTACGAGTGCTTGTTGCAGCAGCAACATAAGTTGTCCAAGGGATGAATGTCTTTGTATGCTAAAGAGTGTGAATGCTTTGAGAATGAGAATGAGGCCTACTCAGCCTTCTGCTGCAGTCTTTTCCTCTCAGCCTTTTCCCCGAAGAGCGTCCCTGCAGGCCGCAGCTGAGCTCACTGAGCATCAGAGGCGAAGAGGCCTGTTAACTTTGTCCTATGGTTTTAAACACATCCTAGCTGTAATGTCAGGGTTATGTTTACAAAATACCAATATGAGCACAGAACTTCCAGTTAGGACAGTTATTTTCTTTCTTATCATTTGCAGGCCTCTTTAAGCTTTAGCTTGAGACCTAACCTCGTAAATCCCGAAGCAATTGTGCCAAGCAATAAAAAAAATAAAAAAAACCCTAATAAGGGTATCTAGGCTGTTCATACAGATGAGTTATTATTTAGGTTAAAACAATAAGAAGACCACAAAATGGGCTTTTTCTCATAAATAAGAAATGATTCGTTTTTCCAGCATCAGAATCTGCTGTCAGGTTTTACGGAGGAGAAAACCTGAAATTAGACACAAACTACTAATATATACTGAAACCAGGGTTTTAATTTGACGTCTAATATCTCTTTGCTGTGAATTCGAGAACCACACAGGCGCTAACTAAAACAACAGGTGGCTGCTATGATTGGACAGAGATGTCATACCAGGAAGGAAAATATAAATACATATATGTATATATGTCTTGACAGTTCAAGGCAATCGTGATCAAAAATGATCTGTTTGATGTACCGCCCACTTTGTGACATGCAAATCTCGATAAGCTTATTTAAAAAAGCTTATAAACTTGTCTGACCAGTAAGAAATTGATGCTGTTCTTCCTCTTTTCAATATCTTGCAGTCTATAAATATTAATTAAATGCAGCTTACTGAAAAAGAGCTCTTAATGGTTTCTGCACACAGTGGAATCACACGTGTCTATTGAAAAAGATGGTGGCAAACAATAACCTAAATGGTCTACATGGATTAGGTTTAATTTGTTATAAAGCAATAAATGTCTAGCCATTCTAATCTCCATCTTTTTATCATCAAGTTATTTCTTACTCTCAGTATGGGGACTTACTGATACACTACAGTGATGCAAAAAATGCCTTCATGGTAGCGATGATTACTCCAGTTTTAGCACGTTATGGGCCGGATTAAACGCTCCTAGCTTTCTTAGTCCAGAAGAAGGCTTAAGTAGTGGTGAGAGTCTAAAAACAAATGTATTAAACCACCTTCCCTCCCAGAAATGATGCCAAATGAAAGTGAAATCATTTTTAGCGCTTTTTCATTACACTCTGGTGCTTTCCAAGAGCAGCCTCCGCAAACCGTTAACTTTATTTCATTTTCATTCTTTGTACACGTGTTTTTGTGACCACCTTATTCTGTTTAAAGGTTACTTTGACATGTAGTAGTTTTACTGTACGGTGTAAGGCACAGACAATCAAAGCAAAACAAGGTTACTGTGTAGACTTATTTAAATGCAGATTTAAATGCATCCATGCACACAAATTAACTTCTTCCCACCAAAGCAGGGTTCTCTCATTCACATGCGTGAGAGCGAGTAGATAAGAACTTCTCACAGAATGGGCGGATAGTTTGACGCTGCATGGTGAAGGTCAAACGAACCTGTAGGCTGACTCTGCTGAGAGTCAGACCAGAGAATACAAAGTAAACTTTACAGTAACACACGCTGTAATTATGGCGTTTTCACCACAAAGCATTGTTCAAAAGCCTTAAAGGATCAGTCTGATCCAAGCATGAACTAAAGTGTCCAACCAATACCACTATCATTTAGGGTTTTTTTTTTCCTTTTGGTGTCAGGCAGTTTGTGTCTTCATATACATAAACTTTACTTTCTTTGCTTTACAAAGGTTAAAAGAAAACATCATCATTCCGCTGTCACTCTCAAACTGACTGCTTTTCTAATTTTTACTCTGACTCAAACAACTAATCCACGTTTTAATGTTTGCTGCTACAGTAAAAATATGTTTAATCTGTCTTTTTGTTGCTTTACACTGTAAGTTCACACAAACAGATATGTAGATGATGATATTTGAAAAGAAAACTGAACAGCGATGAGCGGAGGGCTGCGTGCCACGCCACCCAGAAATGGTGGCTATTGTGTGCATTCATCAAACCGAATTAATGTCATACAGCAAACACAAAAAAGGGGGCAGCAGTCACGGCTGTTAAGATTTTAAAGTTCGGTCTTTTAAGTGTGGAAAGCACAAACACTTAATGAAGAAAACATTCCCCCCTTCAGGGCGATGAGTAAGTGCATGCATGGTGATACAGCACCTGACTCATTTCTGTCTTTTGAACTAAATAGTGCCATAAAAATGAAAGCTTTGATGCTTGCTGTTTGTTAAAGTGGATCTCAGTCAGGATGAGGAGGGCACAGTCATATGACTCCACTCTCAGCCACGTAAATAAAACAGTGCTTCCGTCCTTAGAGGCTAGTGAGAAGCTCACAGAGCCATGTCGTGTTTAGCTTCCTCCCCTCCCCCTCCTCGTCTGCATTGCTGACGCATCTGCTGCCGGTGCATCAATCAGCAGCTTCTATGTAGGTATAAGCAGAGTCTCCGCTGAAAGCGGGACTCTCTCTTAGCTTTGCATCCGGTTTGCATGCTCGATGCAACTGTGAGAAAAAGCATTGATGAACATCTGTCCGCTGACTAACAAAGCTACACAAATAGGACAGTGCCATCTTCTCTTAGCTTGTGCATTACCTAACCACAGTGACTGCGTAAGCACAGACGAAAACCTTTGGTGTAATGTATTGCTGCACTGGCAAAGACAGACATAGTGTAGCGTCATGCATTTAAGGTGCATGCTCTTTCTAAGTGGGCTGGAGATGATTTTATGTCATGTATTTTTGGTCAACATCGAGCTGCATCGAGATCCCGCTGGTGCGGTGCTGGGGAGATTTAATAGATCGTCTGCTGTACAGCAGAAGAACCCTTCACTCTATCCTGCTAATAGCAATGCAGCTCAGCGTTTTCTCTGGCGGTGCATTCGAGTACAGAGCTGGTGTGTGATGTAGCACCCTGCATCTCTCCGCTCTCCCTACAACCCTCTGCCATGCTTAATAAAAGTTGCCGCTTCCTGCTCAGTGGCTCCAGAACGAAAGCTTCAGTTGCCCAGCCAGCACAAAAGCAGACCAATAGTCCGATTTAGCTACACGCTGCTTAAACCGTGAGTTATTCCTATAGCTTGTAGCAGGACAGAAGAGGGACAGCCAGAGGAGGGCAGGGCAGATCTAGCCCAGGACTTGGGCTGCATGGATAGAGGCGAAGGACGTTGGAGCCGGAGTCATCTTCATACAGAGAGGGAGGGAGAGGAAGAAAGACGTCAGAAAAAGCTCTGCTTCTGACAACACCACTGTTCAGCGACCATCATAGAAAAAGAAAACTACTTTCGCCTTGGTCTCACGAAACTGTTTTTCATGTATAGTTTGGTATACACGGGGCTGTAGAAAAGGGATACTGCATGACACTGCTTCCTGTTCGCCCTGCATCACTTTCTCTGATTTACTAAGGTATGTTTTGCATGATTTTTTTAACCGTTTTTCTTTCTCTTTTTTTGTTTGGGGTTTTTAATTTTTATTTGCGGAAGTTCGCTTCGCACAGATGAGTGAAGTGTCTTTTGCTTTGATATTTCGCTCTTTGATTGACAATGCTGTCTGTATGCTGTACTGTCATTTCTTGGTTTGTGGTTTAGTGTGTGGGGACTTTTTCATTACAGATGTAACAAAAATAATTTCACTTTGTCTTTGAAGGTAAACTAAAGTTGGGGTGTGGCAAATTCATAAGCCCTGATGAGAAATTCTAATTTCCGCTCAGCATGTGGTGGGAATAAATCCGAGAAAACTCATACAAAATGTGGAAAAAATGAATGCGGTGAAGTAGAATAACGATGCAGAGGAAAGGATGAAACGCTTCTGATGAAGCACAAAGTACGAAATTAAAACAAATGCGTGGCACATCACTTGCGCTAGGTGAGAAAGTCCATTTTTTTTGCTGCAGACAAAGACACACAGACCAATACACAGACACAAAGTACATTCAAGCCGAGACAAAGGCAAACCTCGATTGCTCTGCAGACTGCTGCGCGGTGCAGGTTCTCAGAGAGGGCAGCTTGTTTGTGGGAGAGAGAGGGGACCGAATACTCGGACGGCTAATACAGTCACTTGCCATCCAGCTGAATCCCAATAAGAGCTGCGCCATAGCATGTTGCCATGACAACAGAGGCCTGTCTGAGAAAGACGGCAGCAGGGTGGCTGTGTTTCATCAGTCTGGGATGCTTTAAAGACTGGCGGCCATATTTGTTGCACGAGAATTCAAAAACAAAACAAAACGTAAACAAAAAATACCTTCGGTGATAAATCACCTGCAGTCCCGGGAGTAAAGAATACCGGTCGTTCACAACAGCAGGCTGCCAAATAGTGCGCACCACTGGCAGACATTAACAAAACGTGACACAATATCAGATATCAAACTGAACTGTGAATTTAAAACAGAGCTAACCGATAAAGATGGCTGGCGTGTAGATAAAAACATATTAAACTCCTAAAAAAAGGATCTAATGCTAATTTGTGCAATCATCACTGCGCGACTTTCAATGCAGCCACAAAGATGAAAATAGCAACAATGTAAAGTGGTGACCTCTGAGCTTGACTTGCAAAAGGCGTGATGATTCAGCACTTGCAAGTGTAAGCTGAGTGTGTTTTAGCAGATACAGTCAGCGCACTGTGTAACACATGCTAAATGCCTCAGTAACGACTCATCCCTGACTCTATATGAGTAGGCCACAGTTAACCCGTCATCCTCTTTCAAAGTCAGAATTTACTTCATCTAGGGTTTGCAGATTGCAGATCGCGTTAAGTCATTATCAGAATCAAATTAATCCAGAAACGCTGGATTGGCAGCGTTCAAAAATACCAGTCTGTACAATCAAGGCCGCCATTAGCTCCAGTATGCGGAAACTGAAAGGCATTTCCTCAAGAGTAACTACTGCATTACTGTTATCAATGCATTATCAATTTTATATACTAACACATGCAATAAATAAGCTTTTCATAGCATTGTTTATGTTAGTTGCCCTTAAACGAGGTATTGATGAATAGTTGGGAATTAAAAGCAACCTTTGGTGCCTGCACGACAAACTGAAAAACAAAATGGGAGCATATGACTCATAACTCTATGGGTAACATTCATATGTTAACTTTAAAACCAAAGCAAAACAAACCAAAAACAACAGGCAGTCATGATGACTGTACAACTGGTCTTTGTGTTGTGCACCGCTGTGGCATCACACTGACTGGATTACCATTCAATTTATTCATCATTAATTACAACTAAAAACAAAAAGGGCCGACTGTTTGAGAATGCCAGGTGCACCAGCTGTCAACCATTAGGTCATTATAGATTCAGGATTTTTTTTTAACTGCAGCCATTCCGCCAAATTTTTAAGCCGGTCTCTTTGGTTTTAGCTCATATTTAAACGCAGCCTTTGAATAAAAATGCTCGCTCGCAGTACTTCTATGCGGTTGCGTGACACACTCCCACCAGAGCACTTTCTAGTACAAACTATAAGCCACAAAGCAGCTCCTCTGCAGCCTTTGCTGTAGTAGCTTACAGTTGTCACTTAAAGCTCAAATTTCCATTCCTTGAAGTAATTACTCACACCCTCCCTATTGCTGCACCGTCTAATGATTTACAGCCTGGAATAACAAAGTGCATTAACAGTTACGTGTGCCCGACATAAAAAGGGAGATTAACTTTTAAAAATGTGAGATTAAAGAGCTCTTCTACAGACGAGAAGCACATCTGGGATTAAGCAGAAGTGATTTCAGAGAGCAACACAGTCTTAAGACAATTCAGCCACAGTTTATAGGTCTGATATTTCAATGAGCCTACAGTTTGCATTAAAGTCATTGTGTAAGCCATTTTTGAATTGTTAAAAAATTACATTTTATGCAAAATGCAAGTGAAAATATAGTTTCTTGAGTCAGAAGTGTTCACCAGCTTGTTGACATTAGAGCTCATGTGCCAGGACATTACTGCCATCTAGTGTTAAATCACACAAAGAGCTTGATAGCTTCAAATAATACATGTACACACTTCACTCCTGAGTCTTCTTTTGGAATTCAGATTCTCTGTTTCGCAAAACTCTAATGTGATTATTTCTCGTCCTATGTTTAGATGACTGTGGTGTCTCCATGCCCTCACAACCTGATGGATAACGCTCACCCTCAAACTGTGCTTAGCAAGCTTAATGAACAGCGTTTACAGGGCCTCTTCTGTGATGTTACCATTGTGGTGGAGGATGTAAAGTTTCGGGCCCACAAGAACATACTGGCAGCCTGCAGTGGGTACTTCAGGAACGCTCTGACGACTTCTGAGCCATGGAACTCCAGCCAAGTGCTGGAGCTGATGGACCTTAAGTCTGAAGTGTTTGCCTGTATCCTCAACTTCATATACTGCTCAAAGGTGACATCATCTGATGCAGAGGACACCAAGGGTGTAGTAGCAGCTGGAAAAAGACTCGGAATTGCTTTTTTGGAGAAGCTCGCAGAACAAGAGAGACAGGATGAATGTGTTAAACCAGCAGATTCTTGCACTGCCCCGGTGTCTGAAAAAATAAAGAAAGCACCTCTTGGGCTTGAGGAGGTAGACAGCAGCAGAGGACCACGCATCACCAATGCCTTCTCAATCACTGAAGTGTGTCCTGGAAACAATCCTTTCACCCCTCTGGATCAAGCAAACAGAGAGAGGCAGTCACCCGACTTGGGTCAGCTCCCATCAAGTTGTTCTACAACATCCTGCTTCAGCGGGAACAATGAGACTACCCACGCCCTCTCCGAGCACTCATATGCAGTATGCAAATCCACTGAAGGCAAAGATAGCAGTCAGTGTGACAGCAAGAAGGTCTGTAAGCCAGCTGTACCACAGCCAAAGCAACTCATTTACAGGAATATAGGACCGCTTAAAAAGCGGCACAAGCTGAGAAGCATTTTGGGTAAAAGCATGCTTCCGACACCAGCCGAACCAGAAACCGACAAACCAAATACAGTGACCCCCACATTTACTGACGGTGCTACTGCAACACCTGCCACAGTTATGACCCCGCCTCCGCTTTTTTCTGAGGCAGAAAAAAGCATAGACACAGGGCCACCTATGGCCACAGACACAGCTCCAATGGAGCTAGGTCCGCCAACACTTTCCCCTCAGACAGAGGACAGCATATCAATCTATGGCTGTGAGCACTGTCCGGAGATATTCACAAATAAAGCTCTTCTCACCATTCACTCAGAGGTACATAAAAAGCGTTTTGTTAGTCATTTGTTTTGCAAGTTTTGCCACAGGAAGTTTATACACCTCAAACGTCTGCGCAACCATGAGCAGGTCTGTCCTAAGGCTTTGAGAGGCCCACCTAAACTAGATGCCAGGGATAGCTCAACCAAAGAGGTGGATCACCATTCCGATGACGGATCAGAAATGGAAACCAACATATCCCAGCCTCCTCCCACCGACCTACCAAGCCCTCACACCCCAGAGCCCCTTCAAGTGGACCAATCAGAGCCTCCACACGATGAGAAGCCAATGAAGATATATGGTGGTCAGAGGAGATATAGCTGTAGTGTGTGTAAACGGGTTTACGTCACCCTATCCAGTCTAAAGCGGCATGAGAATGTACATTCCTGGCAGAGGGCCTACCCCTGTCATTACTGTAACAAAGTATTTGCCCTGGCAGAGTATCGCACTAAGCATGAAATCTGGCACACAGGTGAACGCCGCTACCAGTGCATTTTCTGCCTGGAGACATTCATGACATACTATATCCTGAAGAACCATCAGAAGTCCTTTCATGGCATTGATCCCAGTCTGTCTGTTAAGAAAAAGTCTGCAAACGGTGGGCTAAAATCCAACATTTATCCTCTCAAACTCTACAGGCTTCTACCCATGAAGTTTAGAAAAAGACAATACAAGACGTACAGTCACACGTATTCAGAGAGAGCTGAAGGAGGTGATCAGTCTGCAACAGACAGTAACTCTGTTATCCCTCAAATTGAAGAAAATGGTCTCAACAGCCACTCTGACACTGCTTCATTCCCTCTGACGTTCATGGCAACAACAAAGATGATTTCACCTGTCATGCCTCGCATCAGCTTTGACAAGCCATGTGACCAGGATGGCGACCAAAATCTAAACAGTGAGGTGGAAATTCGAGGGGCCACAAGAAAAGAGGCAGAAAACAGAGGTCCACCCTTCTTTAGCTATGACGGTTCCTTTTCTGTGCAACCCCATGCAGAATCTCCTGCAGGTTACAAAGATAATCCATCTCCGTTAATTAACTCAGAGCACATGAGTCATAATATGCCCTTCTTAAAGTCCTTGAACACTGTTAAAAAGCTAGGTGAGCTGTCAGCTTCTGCCAAAAGAGTCGAGGACATGACCAAGGAGATCCTTCAATCGCACACAGAGAATTTGTTGTGTGATAAAACACTGGGGGCAAAAACAGAAACATACATCGCCAAACCAGCATGCCCAGGTCCATCTTTTGACAGCGATGCCATGCCGCTGTGTCAGATAACAGTCAAAATTGGCAACGAAGCCATTATCCGACGCCAAATCAAAGGATCGAAACTATTTCCCAGGAAAAAAAGGAGAATTCGAGAACTGAGTGTGGAGCAGAGCCCAAGCCAGTGCCCTCTAACAAGGGAAGACTCAGAGAGTCCCAGGCTCCGCTTCAGACCAGAAGTTGCTGCCACCAGAGAGCCAGAGGCATGCGATGACCCGTCTGATTGCGAGGGAGCAGATAAGCTCTGGCGCCCCTACTATTCCTATAAAGCTAAAAAGAAAAGGAAGAAGCTCAGATATAAGCACAGAAAAGCCATGTTTCACCATTTTTCTGAAACATCAGTAGATAGAACTGCTGCTAGCGAGGCCCACCTGGAAAGAAGCAGTTGGCTGAGAGAAGAGAGCGTGTCGGTGAGCAGCACGAGGGTGAAGCACAGCGTTGGCAAGAACTGCAGCCCGAGGGCCACGTACAACTGTGAGATCTGTGACAGCTCTTTTATCACGGAGACCGGTCTGAGGGCTCATGTCATTGGCTCTCACCCCTGTTTCTGTCGAACCTGCGGTAAACAAGGCCCCCCCAGTGAGGCGCCCGCCGGCCGCGATTACATCTGCAGCAGCTGTATGGAAAATGGCTCCTGCTTCGATAACACACCCCAGAGCCCCAACCGAGAGAAAAGGTACCGCTGCTCCTTCTGTCCCCAGCGCTTTCTCTACCTCGCCACGAAGAGAAGCCACGAGAAAAAACACAAGGAAGCGAACGAGGAGGGCTACACTTTTGACGACTTCGCACCGTGTTCGAAATACTCTGCACACCAGAGCGAAGCCAACAAACAGGCAACCGTCAAAACAGAGGACAGTGACAATCACGGGGCGACGAACATAAAACATGAAAGAGTGGAAGGGGAACATTTTTCCGTTGATGAGAATCAGCCTAAAACTGAGGAGAAAACTGACTTAACGACTCTCCATCAAGATGTGTCATATTCCAGCATTAAAAGTCCGTTATCACCTTGCACTGACCCACTGTTTTCCCTTGCAGCCTCAAAGCTGAAACACAAAATACCAAAAAAGAGGTTAAACACACAGCATTCAAGTCACCTGGTTTCAAAAAGGCAAGCGTGCGACAGAGACAGTGACAGCAACACGGACGCTGTGACGGGACCAAGAACGAACAGTCACAGTGAACTCTTTAGAAGAAATGACTCTGACTCTAGAGGTGCCCACATTTCCATGCACAAGCCAGAGAAATGGGTGTGCAAAGAGGAGCCGTTTTTTTAAAGGTCCATGAGGACTGCAACCAGCTACAGGGAAGATTAAGGAGAAAAGAAAAAAAAAAGCAATTTGGTTAGGGAACATAGGATTTGCAATGTTGTATTTGCAGCTTAGAGTGTTTGAAGGGACAGCAAACAGTAAACATGATGATCTAATTATCCATGTAATCTCTTCCCTCCTAAACCAGACTCAGTAAGCTTTTGTTCAGGTTTTTTTTTTGTTTCTTGCATAATATAGGACCTCTTGACACAGACTGTATTTTGTCCATTGTCTATGCATGTAAGGTAGACTCAGTGACATGACAGAAAGCTCATGGAAACAAAATAAATAAATACAACTACTGGTGATATTTCTTCAAAACGATGTGCAATATCAAAGCAGAGAGACAAAGTGTTGGAAAATATGTAAAATCCGTCTAGTCTTCACTTTTCTAAGCCTGGAGAAAACCATATGAATTTTCTGACTGTCACCTTTCTGAATCTCCCTGTCAGCTAGCTGGACATGGCGAGTTGCACTTTATAGGTAGACTATGCTAATTTGTTCATTTAATACTTTGGATAAGTCGATTTCAATTTGAAGCACCACTGATGTAATTTCAATTTTTGAATTAACTCATTGCACCACTGAGATTAAACTTAATACCGGTACTTTTGTGTGTTTAATATGTATAAAACATGTAAAATTATTTAAATAAATACTGTTGGATATTCTAAACCGTTACATCCTGTCCTGCTTTGGCCAAAACTATAATAAAGGCTTCACCATTGTTTCATAGCATAATCTACGCCTAAATGCTAAAACTTGGTGAAACTAATTATAACTGAGGAGCTAGAAAAACATAGTGTTTAAGTGTGGTGGATGTTTTTAGGCAGAAGGATTTAAGCAGGCTTATTGGTGCAAAGCCTTCTTCCATCAAGCCACGAGATGGTTGTGCACTCCTCATGGGTCCTCGGGGACCTGCACACCATCTGAAAAGTTAATTCCCTGTTTTCTTCCACACAAACTGCATCTGTTTTTAAGAGTTTAGGCTCAAGACACAATTTCCAGATGTGTAAAAGAAATTCCTTTCTTCATTTTCAGGTATAAGGCACTGTTGAACACACCAATAGTAACATTGAGGCAGCCTGTCCTGCCGTAAACTTTAATGAGGGAAAAGCAGCAAATCGTGATGGCAGCGATGTGACTCCAGATCAGATTTTTCTTTTCATTTTTAAATATGTAAGTATTGCTGCATACGGCTTTGGAAATAGACCGGATTTTACTCATGCAGGGTCAAATTATAACATCATATTATATAAGAGCATAACTAAATATTGTGGAGTTATGTGTCCTGAATAGGGGTTACAAACGTAAGTTAGAAGTATTTACATTTATAAATTAAGATGCAAGAAAGACAAAGTATGTGAGCCACCTTCAGCTGCTCCCTTGGTCACAAGGGGTCGCTACAGCTGGTAGCTCAGCATATTTGATTTGGCAATTTGTTTTATTTTTTTCTTACACCGGATGGCCTTCCTGGCAGAACCCCACAGGGACTTGTGTCTCCCCTCGGGACAGAACCAGGGATCTGCCTAGCAAATGTGTAAACCACTATACTATAAAAGGAAAGAAAGAAAGATTATATCTAGGAATAGCTCCAGTGTTCAGGTGAAGAGGGCTCACTATATTGTGCAAAAGCTACACTGAGTACTGTGGTCATTAAAATAAATATGAGCTAAATCTAGTATATCTAAATATGATCATTAGTAATCTTATATATTTTCTGTTTGAGTATCATACATCACAAAGGCATTTTTTTTATGTTTTTTGGAGACAGAAAATTTACATACATGTCCACTCCTGAATTATTATATTAAAAAATACACAAAGTATTTTACTTTGAATCTTAATCTCCTGTGCAGCTGGGAAACTACTGCCACACCCCTCTGAGGTGAACTCCATGTGCAAAATTAACAAAGGAAAATGAAGGAAAAAATGTCCATCCCGGTTTTCCCTCCAAGGCACGAGCACCGATAAGCAGAGTTCTGTCCTTTCCTTCTAAGATTCCTAATTATTTAAAGTAACACTCAGGTATGCCATTCAGCGTGTTAGTACGAGCTCGGGAGCAGCTTGGGAGAACAAGAGAACAGAGACTGCTTTAGGTTGCCTTCCCAATCGACTCAAAGGTTTATTAAGTATACAACAGCTTATATAGAGAAAAAAAGGTTCGTGTGTCAGTTTTCCCAGTTCAAACCAGTACAGACCAAATAAGGAAACGTCTTCCTGCCTAAAGAAGTATCCTTTGTGTAGTTTATCAGTTCAGCTACAAATTATGATCATCCCAGCAAAATACACTCCTAGACATAGAATACAGAGTTCTTTCATTAGTGAATTCTGAAACAAACCACCTGGCCTTTAACGAGCCTTTTCTAAGAGATAAAGAAGGGAGGATGGGAGTAAGGAAGTGGTCTCGTTTCTGTGGTGTTTTCGACCTTGGGGTACCAGCCTGTGAGTCTTACACATTAATTCTTGGGTCACAGAGAAAGAGAAAAACAACTAGTAAATGGGCCTTATTGAGTAACAGTTTTCCTGTATAACAAAACAATATCCTGTAAATGCTAACCGTAGTGCTAAAATTCCCAACAGAAAACACTTGGGTTCCGATGTTATAATAACTGTATATGTGTAGTGAGCATATGCAGCATGTGCTGTTTAGAAACCGCATACCTGACAGCTTTTCAGGCTCCATGCTACTACCATCTGACGATGACACCCAACCAAAAAAGCTACACCACCTTGAAAGGGGAAGAGAATAAAACGACAAAAAAAACAGCTGTGAAATGCACACTGAACTGTGTATCTTACAGTATCTTGTAATCCACACAGAAGATAATAAAACCAGAGTGTATAATATTACATTTTTTTCATCTACCTGTTTTGCTGAAAATAAATAAATGCAAACCAGGTATGACACACCCACAAACTCGAATAAATATTTGCTCAGTAACACACTCATAAAGCAGCTGTGACGTTCGCGGACATTTTTATGTTTTGGTGCAATCATTTAGTGTGCAGCTTTCCTCTGGTTAATGCTTTCAAAATAAAGTGTTTTAGTCAGTGTGTGGCCCCGAGAAATGAGTTTTTATCCGGGGCAGAGGTAGCTAACTCATTCATACCCGGTGACACCTTTATCTGTCTGAAATCTAAAAGCGTGCATAAAGCGTACAGGGTTAACTTAAAGCGCTGGCGTCCGAGATTAGCCAAGCTAAGCTAAGCTAGTGCCACAAGTCAAACTATTATCGTGTTATCCGAAAGCGTTATGGTTGCATAATGAATGACACCAAACACTCACAGAGAGAGAGGGGGACCTTAAATTCCTTTTAAAACTCCTACTAATCACACTGCTGCGCCAGCCAAAGGAAGCTCGACTTTAGAGGAAGCTCCAAACATTTCAAGGCTGGAGCGTGTGCGGGACTTGACGTGACGCTATAGTGGGACTGGCTTTTTCTCCACTCTGCCTGCATTCATAAACGGATATGATAAACCAGCTCTGAATGCACCGGAGCAGCGACAAAAGTCAGCTCTGACCATGGCGGAAGACGACGACGCTAAGATACGGATTTTACAGAGCCTGCGGGGTAAAATATGTAAGTGAACCGACGTTTTGAGAGTCTCGCACAGTGTGAGGGGGGGAAGGAGGTCGAGAGCTGTGAGACGGAGACCGGGAGGGGTGCGGTGTGCTATCAACAGTCGACTGAGTGAAGGCAGAGACAGGCGAGCTGGTTCGTCTGCTGGCTGGTGCCTAACGTCAAGCTAGCCTAGCATGCTAGTAGAGGCTACTAGCTTGTTGTGAATGCATTCATTCATCGCGCAGAGCCTCGCCGCCACCATTTAATACCCCCGAGCCTATTTTGAAACTGTGACTCTTATTTTTATTCGTATTATTTTTTTTGGCAGCTTGAAGCCAAGTTAAATCAGCGTCGGGCTAGCTACTACCACCAGCCTCTTCAGTCAGTCGTCACCAAGCTAGGAGCCCATTCAGCTATTCTCACTGCGGGCATCTACCAGTCAGGCAACTCTAATGCTAAATATTAGACGGCAATAACGTTATTTCCAGCTACAGCACAGACTTTAAACGCACATCGGATTGAAAGGCAGCAAAGCAGTGGCTGCTCAACCCTTTAAAGTTTCACGTTAGTTGCTCATTTTTAGCCGGACACCAACCTTAACTTAGCTGGGAACCACTAACTTATTTTTGCTAATAAATCCAGTATTGTTTATTGGCGTTAAAATAAAAAATAAACCGGTTTCTTGAAGCCATTTCTGCGGTTTGGAATGCATGTGGAGGCTATCGTCATAAAAAAGATTATCGTGTCATCAAGTGCCACTAAATTACTGATTGAAAAACAGATGCTTGTTCCTTAAAAATAAATAAAAATAACATCGTAGTTACTTAAATGCCACAATCATCCCGTTTTTGTCAAACGTCCAAACTGGAAATCCCGACTTTAAAGTAAAATACCTCAGCAGAGCCTCGGTGTCCTCTCCTCGCGGGTCAGCTCCTGTGTGGGGGTATCTGCCTGATGGATTTATCGTTTTGTTTTCTACGGCTTCTCTCTACGAGCGTTTTAACCACCTTTTTTTTTTAATGTTTTAAACGTTACACAAGTAGATTCCTTCATTGCAAGTTTTTGGTTTTAGATAACAGGGTACTGCATATGGCGCAGTAGATTTGCTTATTTTCAGTGTTAATACCCATTCATTAGCCTTCATCCGCTTCCCCACCATCCTGTCTCCGTCTTCAGGTTTCGGTTTGTGTGTGGCACTGCTTCTATTAATCACATGAAATTTAACCGACTGGTTAAATGAATGCATTTGTATTTAATGAGAGCAATATTTATTACTGCTGTATTACTGAAATTATGTCGTGTGTTCATTCTTTTTAATAGCCACTCGTGATACATTTTCAGTTTCCAAATTGATAGTAGGCACTCATGAGTAATGGGTGAAATGGTGTGTATTTACTGTAAGACGAGTATAGGCCAGCTACCATGTAATGCTTGTATTGCTAGGAACACAATAGGAAGACAAATGTCAGTTTCACTACTATGAATTAATGAAAAAACAGTAAGCAGAACAAAATAGAGGAACTATCATGGCATGTAACTCACTTTGCAGTCTTGCGAAACTCCATTCTTCCTCGTTCACACTTTGTCCTTTTTCCTTTAGCCTACTTCAGTGGAGGTGGCATTGTGTGAAGATGTGTTTATTGTGACAAAAAAATTTCCAGTGTACTTTCATCTGTGTCCTTGTTTGATTCTCATATTAAAGGTCCTAGGGCTTACGCACCCTTTAGGTCGTGGTTTCTTTCCACAGGGAGACGCACTTCTGTTGTAGTGAAAATGCTATGAAAGGGCAAAGATGGATCAAGTGATGCCTTATGTGTTTGTCTTTTTTTTCTTCTTTTGCATATGTGCTTCTGTGCCCTACTCCCACCACGACATCCTGGTCCAAGTTTAGTGACAGCTTGACCCTTTTCACTGGCCATTCCTAAGATTAGACACAAACCGCTATTAATAACTTGTTAAAAAGCTGATCTCACTGGCAGCTTTTCTTAATTAGGTCCCTACCTGGGCTTAGGGTA